TCCGCGCGGGCGACCCCCCTGCGTCGGGCTCGTCGTCGAGCAGGGGGGGAATCCGAACGCTGCGGAGCCGCGCGGTGTGCCCACTCCGCTCCACGGTCATCGTCAGGACGGAGTCCTCCAGGACGGCGATCAGACAGGCATCTTGGATGAGCGCGCGCGAGGGGGGGGGGGAGGAATAGGCGCCCGGGAATCCCCTCCACTCCGCGAATTCCACGGCATCCCCCCCGCGGGAAGCCCCCGCGGAGGTCAAAGAGGTATCATTAGGAATATCCCCAACCCGCCCGTCACGATCCGCGCGGATGAGCGAGATAGGTCCTCGAATTCGAAGTTTCCGTTCCCCGATGCGGCTTTGGAAGTGCCTCACGCGGGAGTCCAGGTCATGAGGATAGCCACCGAAGATGGGGCTCGGACGCCACATTGACCTTGTGAATGAAAAATTATGCTTACCCCTTTTCTCTTGATTAAAGAAATTTCCCAGAACCACAGGGCTGAAGCTTAGACTTATCCAAGCAATTAGCACACGCCCTCCCCCCTCCCCCTATGCCACTACGACCAAAAGGAAATAATATGGATCCAAAAAAAAAAATAGCACGAACACATAAAGGGACAAAAAAGTACTTGAGCAAAAGAAGCGGCTACAGGATCCCTGATACGCAAATATATTAAAAGGAAAATGTCGACAGACTATTCTTATTTTATCATTACTCGACGCGGACACAAAATTTGAAGATCTTGGTCTTAGTTCATAATATTTTGCGTAAGGCTTCACCATCAATACAAACGTGGCCGGCATCACGAGAGAAATTGGGATAAGGGGAAAGTGATCCACCTTTTCTCCTTTTTTTTCAAACAAAAAGAAGTCCCTATACTTAATTTTTTTTCTAGTAGATTTTTTGTGAATAAGTAAAGGAATAACATTCAGCACCAACATCAGGGCCTAGTGTCAGCTTCAATAACAGACCTTGACATAAATGCCGTGCAGGAAAAACGATCCAGCTTAACCGCACTTCATGTATCATGGGTACTTCTAAGAATTTATACTTCTACAATCCTTTCAATCTCTTCCGACACATTCGGTTCAATGGCCTGCCCGTCTATTTCTTTCTTAGTATTTAATCCAAATTCTATCATGCGCTGCGTTTGCTTTTTTTTTTGCGGCTTGCTTTTATTCTTAAGCCGCCAGTATCCGAATTTCCTCAAGCTCTCCACGGTAGATAAAAAATCTTGCTTGATAGTGTCGAACTCCATTTGGAGCCGATCTGGAATCATCTGTTTAAAATTCAGGGAGTGAAAGTACACATGGACGTCACTGGGATCATCAGAGTTTTCTAAGCACTTATGCTGACGGTACGGTGCTAATTCCAACGCAACAGCGCGAGCTACTTCTTTTAACGTTTCCAAGTCATCTGTTGCGCTGAATTGACATGATATGCTTCGTTTGATCTCATTGCCAGAGCGCACGACGACGCGTAGCCCACTAGCTGTGAGGGTTTTTCGTATGAGTAGTTCATGCCCTTTCGTGACGCCGCGTAGCACGGCCTCGACAAACTGTTCTTCCGTGAAAAGCCTGCCATACACCAACTTGGAATCTACTGTTCTCAGAAGATACGATTTAAGCTGAAGCGGCTCATCGGTTCGAGGACTATGGGAAACGATGGTATTTAGGAGGACATGCCGCGTGCCGGTTCGCGTGGCGTTGACAATACTAATGTTATTGGTAGCCATGTCCTTTACCATGTAATTAAAGTTTACCAAATTTTTCAGACCAAACAGCATCACCCGATCCTCCACAGGGTACCGCATGCGGCCGAACACCGAGCAGTAACAAGCCTTGAAAGTTTCCTTTGACAGACTGAAGTGGAGCTCCTCGCGTCGGTCATAGATATCCGAGCACGTTTCAATTCCAAAGACGTCGTATAAAAACTTTGCGAAGGCCGGGGTGAAGATTGGAATGTGCGCCACGCGAAAATTCGCCATAAACTTCTTCCCATCCTCAACCGTTTGAAGGTGGGAGTAGAAGGAGCGAACGCGAACGGCGACTTTGCTCGTCGAGGTGTTGCTGGATGCCGGGGTTTTGGATTTCCGCGCCGCCGGCGCGGACTCCCCGTGGTTCGAATGCTGCCGTCTCCACGTCGCCACCTCCGCATCGCAGGCGATCTTCGCCAACGCGGGGGTGGGGGCAATGCCGAAAAACACGCGAACCGCGCGTGCATCGTCTAAACGCGCCTCATCGGCGTCGCCGCCCTCCGGGCAGGAGAGCAGGGGTTGAATAATCTCCCGGCTAATCCGCGCAGCCACATCCTTGGCGACCTCTTCGATCGAAAGTGGCAGCAACACCTCGGCTGGGGTTTCCCCGGCGATCCCTTCCCGATCCAATGGGCTGGACGTCATCAAACAATGCGCATCCCGAACGAACTGCGCGACGTTAGCCTTACAGGCGGCGATAAGTGGAGCGCAGTTGGTGTAATGGGTGACATCACACGTGACTTCCCCCTCGTGTAGCTCCAGCACTCTAATGGTGTAATCCATCAGTAGATGCTTAATTTTGCCAAGGACCTTATCCCGCAATGCCTTACGGACATCATCAAGGGTGCCGTCGGAGGGGTCACTTGATCGGGGTTCTAGCTCCACACGGAAATAAAACACCTTCCCCAGGACCTCGGTGTTCATGATATCGTTCAAATCACACGTTAACTTTTTCATTAGGCTCGTCTCGTGAACGGTTCGACAGACCAGTAGCTGGCGATACGCACGAAAGGAATTCACGAAAGTATCTGGAATATGGTCAAACGTGTGCAAAGGGTAGGTTAAACAGTTTGGGTCTTCAATAACGATACGTTCAAGGGTTTGAAGGATTTCCATCTGTGCTTTTTCAGTCCGATCGTCCGAATTGGTGTCCAAGGGAACGGACTCGTTACCCTTAGGGGTGCGTTTTCGCTTCGTGAGTGTTGTCGAAGTTCCTTTCGGATTTTCCTTCAAGGGAGTATCGGTCACGTCTTTCTCCGTGTTGTGCGTCCTCTCCGTTTCTAATGCACTCGCCGTCACAGGCAGGATCGAGCTCCCAAACATCTCCGATAGTCTATTATCGGGGGAGGTATCTTTTTTTAATACGGTCTGAAATAAACGTGGGTTCTGCTTTCCATTCTTCAAGTTGATGGCACCATGGACGTCTTCATCCTGATGCTCGAGGGCGTGAAGTGCCTCTACAGTTTTCTTTTCTAAAGAATTATGCCCTCGCTCCAGGTTCTGATTGCCTGACTTGTTTCGCGCACGCCCCGAGGAAGACACGTGAGGTGCCTCAACGGAGCTGTTAAACGACCTTTTCGTGAAGCTACTGAAGTGCCTTTTCAACCAAGGACGCATGACAAGAAGAGCCCGATGGCGTGCACAAGCCACAACGCCTTCGAGACGGGCTACTGAAAGGGCAACACGTTGCATCCTCACCACACCGAGCACGGGTTGCGCCCAGAAGAGCAAATAAAACAACGAAAAGGTAAGGACAGCTTCGGGCCTTGGGACAATAAGTGGGTCTAAGAGGAAAATGGATAGCAGAGAAACGCATAATTTTTTTTTTAAATAAGCGTAAAGTGCATGTACCTCATTACGTTTATTAAATAAGGCAAATGTATGGAGAGGTTCACATGAAGTATTGTAAGGGAAACTAAATAAAGCTTTTAGGGATTCATATAACTTTCGGCTTAGGTCAACTTACCCACAGTCACTTCTTTAACCTTAACAGAACGAATTTTCATCAACGTCGTTTCTTTTTGGGGGTAATAGTGGTCGATTTTACAGCCTTTTTAGGAATCTTTGCGCGTGCGCGAGCACCGCGCTTCAAAGGTTTTTCAGATTTGGAAGCCACTACACGAGAGGACTTTTTGGAGTGGGTAGCTGGGCCTCGCCCTTTTTTTCGGGCGTTGCCAACCGCTTTATGTTCGACCTCCTCGGCACGTTCAACGTCGCGCGCGCGATGATGTTCCTCCTCATCCATCTCCTCTTCCCCGGCATCGTTGTGGTTATCTATTTCTTCCTCAGCTTGACTCGCGCCCAGGGTATTGTTGTGATTACTTCCCCCTTTTCCGGACGGAGGGCCTTCCTCAGATGCGAGCTTCTGCAGCCGCACTCCGACCAGCCTGAGCTCGGAAAAGTGAGAGAGGTGCGGTTGCAAGAGCTTCTTTCCCGCCTCCAGCCAAAGCTTGAGGTCGTTCGTGTGCTTTGGGAGGGGGGTGCTAAACTGTTGGTTGTCGTAGGTGCGGTATTTGAGAACCAAACGAATCTGCTGCGGATAGAGCTGCTTCTGCACACACTGCACGTGGCAGGTCTCGAGGAGACTACGAAAGAGCTTCGCGAACGCCTCCGGCGACGTCAACGGCTCGCTAAAGGAGACTTCCTTACCGATGGACTGCCGGACCTCGTGCTTTTTGTGCGTTTGCGCGCTCATCAGACCAAGCCCGACCGACAGGTAATGCCCAAAGGTCTTTTCCTTAAAAAGAAAGGCGAGGAGGTATTTATGCTTGAGGAGATCGCCGCAGGTCTTCACGTTCAGCGCGTTCAGCGTCATCTCCTGCGCGTAGCCGATCCCCGGGACCTTCCGCAGGGGAATGCCCTTGACGTAGTCGAGGACCTCCTCGCGGCTGCGCAGGACGATCTCGTGCTGCCCGTTCGGTTTGTTGACGTTGCTGGCGATCTTGGCGAGGCAAGGCGTCGGGGCGATCCCGCCGCTGCACGTCAGCTGCGTTTTCGCGTAGACCTCATCGCGAAAATCGCTCACGATTTGCGCGGCGGTGAGGCCGGAGAAGCCGCCGAGGTACTTCGTCACGTCCATCGTGAGCTCGTCGAGGCCGACGCTGACGAAGTGGGGGTCGTAGCGGGAGGCGATGGCGTGCACGATCGCGGCCTCCCGCCGATACGCGGCGAAGTCGTTCTTCACGATGAGAAGATCCGGGCAAAGATGACGCCCGATGAAGCCCGGCATCCCAGAGCGGACGCCGTACTGCCGCGCGATGTAATTCGTCGTCGAGAGCATCTGCAACGAGCCGACGCCAAAGGGGACCTCCCGCAGCTGCGGGTCCTTCTTTTCCTCTACGGCGGCGTAGAACATATCCATGTCGATGTGGATATAACTCCGGCGTAGATCCCGCGTCGCCTCCATTTCAGCTTCTAGCGTGTCTACATAGGTGCGTAGCGCCTGCTTCTGCGCGCTCGACAGGTTTCGATACTCCTCCACCTTTTTGAGAATGGCATCCACTTTAAGGCGGCGAGCCTCTTCACGACGCTGCTCTTTTCTGTAAAAGGCCGTGTCTTTCGAGGCTTCTTGAATCACCTGCTCGACATACGCTTGATCAACCTTCTGCAGTCCGGCCTTGTATGCATCGAAACGTAACTTGCCAGCGATCTTGCGGGCCTTTAAAGAGACCGAAGATTCTTTGGATGCCACGGGATCGGCGGATTCGGACTCTCCAGTGGTGGCACTAACCTCAATTACATCTCTACCAGGAGTAGGTGTTGAGGTGACTTTCTTCAGTGTACTACTGCTCGACGCAGCGATCGCCTTCTTAGGTGTTGCTACCAGCAGTTTTAAGGTATTAGAAACAAACAGACGACCCGTATGCAGAAGCATTGCTTTCTAATAAATTTCTATGATTTATTGGTTTATTTATATGGTATGGTACAAAAAACGGTGCAACAAAAAAAGGAAAAATTTACGTTTTAAAATTTTCTATCTATTATTGTTAAGAACTATTGTGAAGTGACGGTGGACAATCTGATGCGCCACGGAAAGAAAATCAAATGTTGAAAGCATATATGTGCGTTCCAGATGTGGCATCGCATTCATTCATTTCAAGGTAAATTGTATTTGGTAAGTTTATTGTTCCTCGATCAGGATACTATTTCCGTCTTTTCGTAACAAGGAAAAAGACAAATCCACTCTTTTACAGGATCGAAATCTTTTACAATGACAGGAATATAAGATAATGTATTCAGATCGAGGCGCACATTCGCAAAATGCAAGAGGCAAAAGATCCCGCCCCTCTAAACCTAAAAAATAACCTCTCTACTTCAGCACCTAACAAAGCCACAAGAAAATTGGTTAGTAAACCCATTTCAGCGCGTTTGTGAAAGTTTGGATGCGTGTTTGAACTCGAGCAGACGCTCAAAACTTCTCCTCAGATCGAACAGCAGAGTACAGATTGGGGTAATGTGTTCACCTGTGAGGGCTAAAAAAGTTGATTGCTCGATCATATAATGTCACACATTCACAGACACATATAGATTACACGTATATGTATATATATATATATATATATATATGTTTAAGGTTTTAAAGGCCTTAAAAGGTGATAGTGAATACCGAGACAAACTCTAGGAGCACCACGGGGTCCACACCTGAACCATAACATCTCTGCGGTGAAATATACCAGCGCATGGCGGACTAAAAGGACTAGTCAGAGATATAAAGGAACGTATTGCCACTTTGGAGGCGCAACAACCGGCTCATTCGACAATGATCACATCATCTTGGTAATTCGAATTCGACACTTCATCTTCTACACTCGGCGAGTCACTTTTCTCCGTGTTTGCAAATTGCGCTTCCAAGGGAGGTGATACCGATGCTAACTCATGAAATGACATCACCACAGGTGACGACGAAACCGTCAAGTGGGGAGTGGCTTCCCCTGCTGTTGAGGGACTGCGAGATGGGGAATCGATGAAGACGACATCCGATGCCGACGACAAACTAGTGGCTCGCGTTCCATTATCAACATGGCAGTCGTCGGTTCGACCTCGGACGTGGGAGGCGTAGATTCGGTTCGTTCTTTGAGGCAAAGCCCCTTCCTCTTCCACAGAATCATCATCGTCCAGCGGCGTCTCCTCGCGGCCTCGTTTCTCCCTTTCCTTGTTGAAAAATCGATCGAGTGTGGCTTGGCCGCCGCCTCTGCTCTCCAGTGGCCGCTCCAATTCGCAGCTCGGGATCAGCTTTTCAAGTCGCACACCAAGCAAACGGTAGTTCATAAAGTTTGCTAGAACAGGTGATAAAAGATCATCTAACGTGCGACGGATTATGGCCTCATCGTCCGTGTGGGATGGCAGGCCTCTACCATACTGCTTGACCTGAAATTCGATGTCCTTCACCGTGAGCACGACTCGCCCGGAGATCAGCCCCTTTCCTTTCAATCGGCGCACCACATGCTGAAGGAGATCATACGCAACCCGCTCCAACTCTTGACGACTCGTGAGGTGCTGAAAGGTGCATTCGTTCCCGACAGACTTGCAATCCGCCCGGGGACTGCTACTGGGGTCCTTATCCGCGTGAAAATCGCCGTAGGCGGTTCCCATGAAGCTCCCGATGCCGAGCGCGGCGGAAAGCAAAAAGCAGAACGTCTTAGGGGTAAAGATGTAGCTCAGCCAATGCCGTTGGTTGTAGATCTCCCCCACGGTGTGGATGCCGAGGCCTCGCAGGGTGGCATCAAAGGACTTCCCGATCCCCGGCACCTCCCGGCAGGGGAGGGGTCGCATGAAATCCATCACCGCCTCCCGCGAGGCCAACGGGAGGGGGTGTTGGCCGTTGGGTTTGTCGAGGTTGGAGGCCATTTTTGCGAGGGTAGGGGTCGGCCCGAGGCCGGCGCTCGCCGTCAGCCCCGTTGCCTCGAAAACCCGCCGCCGACACTCCGTCATCACGCGCCCGGCGACGTCATACCGCGCGGCTAAACTTCCCCCGGCATCGGGAAAATTCGCCCGGAGGTAATCCGTCAAATCCAGCCGCTGCTCATCCAGCCCAAAGGCGTGGAAGTCGGGGTCGTACTCCGCGACGATCCCCCGCACCACCGCCGCTTCGGCCTTGTAGCTTTCAAAATCCACCGGTACGATCACCAGCTCGGGGCAGAGCTTTCGGCCAATGAAGCCCGGCATCCCAGAGCGGACGCCGTACTGCCGCGCGATGTAATTCGTCGTCGAGAGCATCTGCAACGAGCCGACGCCAAAGGGGACCTCCCGCAGCTGCGGGTTCTTCTTCGCCTCTACGGCGGCGTAGAACATATCCATGTCGATGTGCGCGAAGACCCGGTCGAAGAAACGCTCTTTTTCCAGCTCCTGCTCCATCATCTCCACCTGTCGGCACACCATCCGCATCTTTGCAGGATCCGTGGTGATATTCGCTTCGTAAATTTTTTTCTTTTCTAACATGGCTTCTACCCTTTGCGCACGTAAAAAGGCCTTCCGCTCTTCGTTTTTATAGTACAAAGAGCCTGAAGAGTATTTGCGTATAATAAGTTCCGTTTTAACGTTATCAACTTTCTGAAGACCCGCCTTTGTTTTATCAAAAAGAACAACCACGTTGGAAGGGTCCTTTGGTTCGATTTTCGAGACGCTCGTCAGGCTGTCGTTGCTAGCCTCGATGCTATGACTGTTTTCTAAACTCAAAAATCCGTTTGAGGGATGCTGCGCAGCGGTGGGCTTGGCGAAGGAGTGGTCCTCTTCAAATAAGCCGGACTCATTAGGATTACTATTTTCTGAATGTGAATAATCCATGTGCCTTTTCTTCGCCGGTAACTCTCTAGGATATATGAGCTTAGAGATCGTGAAACCGTATGAATGAAACTTAGGATGACCACCAAGAATTGATTCAGGATAAAAATATCCTGTCCTTTTACGATAACAAGAAACAAATACACCTGCAACCTCGTCAGAATGCACTGAAGCCTGAAGGTGACACACGATTTTTTTCCCAAATATCGATCTGATCCGTGCAGAATTTTGATGGTTATAAACGATGCCAAAAAGATATGTAAGAGCGATTAAATTGCAATCTATATAAAAAGGCAAAGAGGAAGAATAAAGTTAGATATTTCTTGACTAAAATGCAAAGTCTTAACTACTTATGTGATGAGCTTCGAAGCTGTTTTGCCTCTTTTCCTTGACCCATACACCGGCATCGAAACTTCCGTAGAATGTACGGATCAAATGGGGTGGTAAATAAGCCTCTTCCGCTTGTTAATCGCACCTAGGCAAACAAAATTCAGAGTGTGAGTAGCTATAGGGAATAGATAGAGAGAATAGAGGGGCATCAGCGTGCCATCTAAAAATAAAAAGGTGTGCGTCTACACAGCTTTTCTAACTAAGGGCCGTTATTTTAAACTTAAGATGAAAGCATATACCTCTTTTGCTAACTTTAACAATAATGGTAGCAATTTCCCCCCACTAAAAAAAAAAGGAATGAAAAGTAATATTACCAGAAACTCATTTTTAATTATTCACAAAAAAAAATTGCTCCTGAGGAATCAAAAATTAAGCAAAAAAAAATTAAAGCAAATAGATGTTTATGAAAAACAAATTCATAATAAATGTTAATTAACAACGCAGCAAATCGAGAACTCAAACAAATACATACTAAGCAAAATTGGTATCATGATAGGAAAATAAATAGCAAAAGTGATTCCTGTGAACAAAACAGCGGCACAATAGAAATATTTTGAACACAGAACATAGTAAAAAAGAAACGAGAATGAGTGTCTAAAAGCATGTTGCACATTGTACAGGGTAGCAGTTCTCAACTGTAATAATCAACCGTTCAAAAAATAATTTCTTCTCGATAGTCCACACTCGTCACGGAAAAGTCAAAGCAACAGATGAATATATATATTTATATATATAAATATATATGAGATATGAAAATTATGAAGCCTGTCTACCAAAAGATCAAACAGTATGCTCTTATGAACACATTGATGCAATTAATTTCATAATCTCTTTTTTTTGGAGGGTTAGAGTTTCCTATCACTTGTTTTCATAAGCAAAATTTAACTTTGAAATTTATTCATGCGTGTATAAAGTAAAGAGATGCGGGGAAAATTTTACTGTATATTCGGAAAAAATATCTTTATTCAACAGAAATTAAATTTAGATATTTTAGAAAACCCACCGTATAAAGGAAATAAAGTAGCAAAATTTCTGAAAAAAAATAGAAAACATTGTTTGTTATTAAATAAGGATAGATTTATATATGTGGTACTCAGTTGATATTGCTTATACACACAACACGTCCCAATAAAGGACAATAATAAAGCTGAGTTTTCATAAAGCAATTGAAAAGGGTAGACAATACCACGCATTTTTAGGGATTTTATTACTATTCCGCTTTACCACACATTCACTGCCATAGTATTATAAAAAAATAGGGAACGATTTGTTCCCCTCATAAAAGACACCTATTCACTCTTTCCAATAAAAAAATCTACTGTTTTAGTTAATGCTCACCAAATTCTAAGATTTGAATTCAATAAATATGGAGCACGGTATAGGAATAATAGGTAAGAAAGTTTTTCAAAAAGACAAATCTATTCAGGTCAAGCTGTGGAAATACCTTCGCCAGCGGAGGTAAACACGAAGTAAAGGACAAAGCAAAATAAAATTAGGTTTTACCATCATTAACTTCGTATTTTTCTGTTTTCTTTTGTTTATTGAATCAACCATTTCAGTATATTTGCACATAATTGAATATCAAACTTCAAATACCTGGAATAGTTTTGATAATGGTTTAACAATGAAAACAATCGATGATGTATAGAAAAAAGCAAGTAAGCTTTATTGATGCTGAAACTAGATGAAGAATAGAAGGAATTTTGGTTAGATATAGCCTATGGTTGAGCGCTGTGTGAGAATAGAATAAAAAGATACATGAATTCATGCTATTCACAAATTTTACAGTGCTTTAAAATAAAGAATGAATAGAATGAAAAGAAAACATTAAGAAAAAGTATACGTGGTAAGGGTCACAGAAACTACCCAAATTCTTTGTCCTTCTAGCCGCCCGTCGTCGTGTTATCTGTTATTAGGTATTAGATATCCAGAATTCCGTTCACACGTCAGCTGAGGGTATGCCGATTGCTCACAAGAGTATTCCAGATTGAGTTCTGTATACTTGCTAAATTTACCACGGTAGGGTGTATTTGATTTACTCCACAAACGCTTAACGCCGTCTTGATTGAGGCGTCGACCCCGGCGGGCGTTCAACCGCTCTCCGAACGACATTGTGGGGAATGGGAAAGGCCTCAGCCTCGATCCCAGGCGATCCTGCACGGCCTCCCCTGTGGGTGGCGGAGGCGCCTCGCCGTTGGGCCTCTCAAAGAGGCCGTTCATCAGCGAGGCGGTCGGCGTCGAATCCATTAATCCCCTCCCTTCCCCCTTCAACCTCTCGCGATCCGAGGAGCCGTCCCGAATCGGAGAAAAAACCGAGGACCGCTCGGGCGGGGTGTCGGCGCACCTTTCTTCGTCGTCCTCCTCCTCCCCGGGGGTGTCTGGGATGGGGAGGCCCCTCCACCTTCCGACGGAGCCCCCGTCGTCGTGCGTCGTGTTGCTGAGCCCCGCATCCAAGGAGCCCAGGCTGGCGTGGGAGATAAACTCACAGCTCGTCGGCCCTTCCCCGTCCATCACCGCGGCGGGGATGGCCTCCAGGGTCGGGATAGACAGGCTCACTCGTTTGTTCAGCCGTTGTTGTTGAAGCGCGATGTCGAGGAGGGGGGTGATCGACTCCTGCGTCGGCGCGCGTGAGCAAAGCGGCAGCACGACGCGGTGAATCGAACCCGGGTGGTAGAATCGACAACAGCACCCCCGGTTGCACGTTCCGCCGATAAAATGTCTGCAGATGTTTTTTTTGTTCACAGGGGATGTGGCATGGCCACCGTGATTGGGGCCGTTGTTCCCGGCAGAGGCATCTTTCTTCCGACGCCGATTCTCGGAAGCGTCAGAACCGGGCTTGGGGTTGTCTTCGTTTAAGCTGGGAGAGTCCGATCCCAAAGTCGTCAGTTCGACATCCTTTTCCGATAAAATTAAGGGACCGATGGCGTAGGGGGAATGCGTATAGTAGTGAGTGAGAGAGCTCCTGGTTTGCGTACGGATAAAAAGGTCTGCGTCATCAGGAGATTTCGTGCATTCTTTGGCGCTCAGGTTGAGTGAAACAGGTGCAGTAGCGCAGTTATTGGAGCACATGCGAAGG